GAGAAAATAGATGGACGGGGTTGAAAGTTGGGATAGATAAAAGACGCGGCGAAGCAATCATTTACGATCCGTGCACGATAATTAAGAAACTATAGTTGCTAGAATGCTCAATTGTAATAGTTAACTATGTGTTTGCTGAAAATTGTAGTTTTCACCGTTAATTTCGAAAGTAGGCACCAGATAGAAATTGGAGGAAACTTATGGAAAGGGAAAACAAGCAGACCAGAGAGACTGGGCGTACAGAATATAATGCAACCGTACGGGTACGAGTATTTCCTTTCCCTTGTTCCTTGACAGTTTATTATCATCTGTCGACGCTTTCTTCTTCTTTATCGTTGCTAACATTAATATTCGCGTTTTTTACCATCACTATCACAGCAACTAGTAGAATTCGTCCGTAAACGTGATCCTCGCTACAAGAAATATAACGAATTTATTTCGGAACAGAATGCCGCCAAACAAGCTGAGGCCAAAAAACGCGCAGCTCGTGATCGTGCAGAATACCTCGCTAGCTTACAACAATATACCGAACAAGAATGGGCCAGAGTCGACAATGAAGAGGAAGAGGTTATTGAAACAGACGATGACGAGATAGAAGAGGAATATGTGTGTATTGCATGTAACAAGAATTTTAAACATGAAAAGGCATGGAATAGTCATGAGCGTAGCAAAAAGCACCTGAAGAACTTGTGGCTATTACAGCGAATGATGAAAGACGATGCAAACATGAGTGACCCTAATAACGAAGAGGCCGATAAGGGCGACGACGAGATTGAGAACGGAGTTGGTAATGATATCGATGAAAAAGATACATCGCAGGATCAGGTAGAAGATGCAGCCAAAGTTGATAACATTTCAGTTTCTTCGACAAGCCCCAGGAAATCGAAAAAGCAGAAAAAAAAACAACGTAAGCCCAATTGGGGTTATGGAAATATCAATGAAGAGGATCAAACAGCTCCTGTCGGAAAAACGTCGGACGATGAACTAGCAGAAGCTCTAGCATCTAATGTCAATATCACGGATGACGATAACCATCATCTAACAACGAGGAGTGCGTTCGAAGATGATGAATGCTCAAATCCAGTAGACGTGAGTGAAATTGGTGAGAAGAAGAAGAAGAAAAAGAAGAAGAAAGATGGGGAAAGTAATCAGGTATGAATATGTTTGAACGTAGAAAGAATATTTATTATTGCGTAGATCACGCTTTTGCCATTTAATTTACCATTAATTATGCTTCATTTTTACCCCCAATAGCACAAATGCAATATATGTGCCCAGGCATTCTCAACGCGCAATCAACTGTTTAATCACATTAAACAGACAGGGCACGCAGCTGCAACACAAAGCGGAAAAAAAAGTAAAAACAGGTGAAAAAATGGGTCGATTAGAATTGTAATAATAAAACCTGGGTATTTGCGGGGCAGTCAAACAAAGTTTGTTGTGATCTAGACTAATGTTAATGAGGTTCGCTGATGGCTTGTATTGTTAATTTTAACTAATGTCACTCTCGGATAAAATAAAGTAATGGGAATCAAGTTAAATTTACCTCTTCTTTCTTTTTCTCTGATTTTTGTGTTAAATCCGTTATTTGACCCTCGACACGTTTTCTGTTAGCGTTTGAGAATGAGTGCACAATGTTTGGATAAAAATGAACTTTATAAACAGTAATGTACTGACATCTCAGAACGTATATACTCCAGCCGCTTGTCGACATTCGATACAGCCTCAGATTTGTCTTGTTTAACGAGAACAGGGCCGATTAGTTTATATATATTGGCATCCTCCTTAAGTAAATTGAATTCCTATCAAAGATATGGCAATTTTTTCGTTGATTGTAAAAAGCGAGTTGGGGAAAACGGAAACTTTCAGGCAAGGGTTCTTTTCGTAATTACTTTTTGGACAATCTCATTCTCTTGCAATTGCGAATCTAAGCGCTGCCGAGCTTCTATGGCTTTGCTGAGGTCTACAGACGAAGGGAGTCAAAATCAGGGCTGAGAACAACATTGCTCAAGGAATCCAACTGGCGAAATCAGGCAGAAAGCACATGCCTTTCTGGAGTTTCTGGAAGTCCTTTGCAATGGCCTCTTGCGACATTGATCACGAATTTTGCGGTAGAGTCATTATCATGGCTATTACGTGCGTGTTGTGCAGAAGTGAAATGTGACGTCACATTATTTTTCGTTGGCAAAAAAGGTTAGCGCGTGATACAGTCACCTCCTATACAGTCACATTGGCTTATAGTCACAATTTTGTCCATTATAGTGATAGTCACTGTCACCCGATTCCAGCATCATCCGTGACATATAATATATAAAATCTCTCTACACAGTCACATTATTGTGTAATATCATGGGCTAGACCAATTTATAAATTTACACAGTACAATATAAATAGTCTTGGATAAATGTTACATCATAATGAGTAAACACTTCCAAGAACCACGTATATTACCGTAGACCACTGACTAAAGTACCCCGGGTATTTTACATTTCCCACTTTTTAGAGGGGTACTTTACTCGG